TTACGCCTAACCTTTTAAGTGGTTCCCTTATTACCACGGCATAATGCGAGCTTACGCTGTGACCATAAGGAGCAGGCTTCATATGTAGAGGGTGGCTGCAAATATTTAAAACAGTGAGCAGTCATTGGGTTTTGCTCGGACTTGAGATTTGTACTTGGGGCTGAAACTTTCCATTGTTTAAAACTAACATTCGGCTAAATATCACAAGGGTCCTCATACAAATTGAGAATATTTGGTACGACACATTTAAAGGAAAACATAAATTAAATTTGATCTTGAAATGTCAGGATAATTTATGGGAAAGCATCATTTATATCAGTATTATCAGAAGATTAAACGTGGTGTATTAATTTTTAACTTTTACATGAATTTTCTTTAAACGTAGAATTCTCTGAATAAATTATGTTATTGCTACACCTGATGCGTGCTGGATAAAGTGAGGCTTCTCTGCAGTGACAATGAGTTAGGTAGTTTCTTGCGATAACATGAAAGGCAATTAAGATCGGATATGTGCACCCTGTTTTAAATGTTCTTGAATATAAATGTGTAGAGAATGAATTTGTTCCGAGCTGGTTGATTACAAAATGTAGTAATATTGAATGTTGTATAAAATAACGTTTAAACTTGTGGGGTTTTAGATGGTAAGACCATAATAAGAATGCCATTATTTTAAATAATGGTGACTGATAGAGAGAGAAACGTATATTAATTAAATCAGTGTGGTAAAATATGCTCAGATTACTGTTCAGATAAATATTATTTTTATGCAATAGATTATTTCTGATACCATTTTTATCTGCAAAACTTAGGTTTTACGATACGGTTTCAAATCAATAGCACGTTTGGCATTTGTACGTAAAGCAGCAGACAAGATAAGAATTATGATTTTTTTTTCAAATACCTTGGAGTAAAGAAATAAAATGAGATTCCAGTAACAGTAACAAATTAACCTAGGTATGGGACATTGGGAATCTAGGTACGTAGAAATCGTGTGTCGGGTTAGTAGCGCACCACCAGACTAATAAAATTAGAGAAATGTAAAATAAATATTTTACTACATAGCACATCAGCGAAAAATAATAATATTGTTGTTGTTAATATTGTTATTAGACTATTCTAGCTTTGTGATAACATTGTTGTGGAGGTTTAAAGATACCGAGTTTTAATACGAGGATGAGTTTTACTGTACACGTTTGTTTGTTTTTCTGCTTTCGTTATGTATAATAACATGTACATTTATTACTCCTCTGTGTAATTATAGATATATTTATCGTTGTGAAATACTAGCATTGGTTATGTCCACTTTAATAAGCCGATATTTCAGTTGTCAGTATTTTAATATTTCTGTGTAGGGCTTTTATTTTTTCACGAACGATTGATTCGCTCGCAATATTGCAAACGCCGTATTATCTTTTGAAGTTATCAGCATCAAATGTAACCTGTTATGTATAAATGTGTAACTCGTAGAAAAATTACAGAACACGAGAGAACTGAGAATTATACCGAATTCAAATCCTATAGGCTTATTCGCTGATCAGGTTTTGGCCTTCGAGAGTCCGCCCGGCTGATTTCACCGGAGGCAATGCGTCAGACTAGCATGCAGAAGTATTCGATGCGAATTCCAACCAGAGGCTGAGAATCGTGTCTGTAGCTTCTCATCATTTTCTTTCATAAAATCGACCAAACACCTAATACCATCCAGTACCTTCCAGCTCGTCATTTAGTTTAATATTTCGTGTTATACAACATTACAGAAACTTAGCAGATGATATAACATTATAAAATTACTAAATAAACAGTTCGACAGAATTACGCTTTGTATTATAGTGCTGTGTTCATTACGCTACCGGGCGTAGCCTCAAATAAGTGCTGATAAAAAAAAATCCAGTAACATATAGGTACAGTGTGTCCCAAAAAGTAATAATATATTTTTTGACACTTACATTTTCGAAATGGATCACGGGTGGGCTGGATGAAATATTTTAAAGTTCTCACCTGCTTCAGACCCTCGCGATAAGTCTTTATATACAGAAAACTTGTTAAATAAATATTAGTAATTTGCATTGATTAACTTCCCCCACCACGAATCTTAATTGACGTCGCTCGGTCCTTGTTCTGCGAGAAACCATCTAAAAGTCGCTTTGGTCCTGACAGGACCTTAAATTGATGGGGATAACTTCAGCGTTTCACATTGTCGTCATATTTGCTATTGTTGACATTTAAACACTATTTATACAGAATTTATAATTATGTTTGTAAATTTGTTTCATACAATTTGATATTGTCTACTACGAAATGTTTCACAATAATTACTTGTGCAAAGTGGAAGCTAAACATTGATTTCGCATTGCTGCCATGTTGTTAATTTATGTTCTACAATAAGCACTTTAAAACGAATTGCAATTTTTTTTTTCGAATATCATTCCTAAACAAAATTACAACACCCTGTGTGGTTGGGGGTAGCATCTTTCGGGTCTCAGATGTTCAGGTTGATGTAATTAAGGGAATTAAACGTAATATTTGGTGTGGAATGTATTAGATTAGTGTTTATACGGAGTTTTATGAAAGCTCATTAGTTACATCGCAAATGTGTTTATGGTGAAATATACAGAGTTGATGGTAGTGGAATATGTCGATAATATAAGACTGAATTTCCTTCTGAAATGTAAGTACGCGAGAAGTGTGGTGGTATGATATAAAACACTATCAGCATGATCGTGCCAGCAGAAGATGATGAAAGAAACGGAGACTGTAGGACTTCAGCGATTGAATCAAATGTCTCTGGCTAACGACACAAAAAAAACACCGTTGTATCGTAACTAATTACAGTCATGGCGGTTGGAGGAGGTAGCTAAGCCAGAAAAGATGACTTCTCTATTTCGAACAATATTCTTGTATACACCATTTGTTACGCTCCACGAATTTGTACATCCAGTAAGGAGCGGCGTGTTCACAGGAAAAGAGGGCACCAGAATTCACAAGACTCATAAAAAACTCGTAATAATTAATCACAGAATCACAGTGTACGGGTGCCATTCTAACGCCGCTGACGGGAAGGATGTTCTTCAACTAAAGCCAATTTCGAATATAACTGCAGCCGACTTGATAATAATTTAATGCCTCCGTCGTTCCACATCCTCAATGACTGCCCTGCTGTTTTGTGTGGAGCAGGCACAAGGAATATTATTACGTCGGGGCTGACTGAAATCACAGCAGGAGAAACGATTTGTAAAGCCGTGAATGACGTGTGAATCTCAAGATTGATGTTAGTTTTCAGTTCAAATTTTGGGTTATAAGCCAGACAGACACGATTATTATAATCGTCGTAGATCAGTTCTGTGGCAATTGGACCGAAAAATTTGGTTCTTCTCGAAGTTATGAAATGGACGCACAATAGTAAGGTAGCGAATGTCAACATTCGTCCGGGAAAAAAACGCATTTTCACGTCTAATTATTAATTATTTATCCTCGAAGGACAGAGTCATTAATACATTATGGTTTGGAAGGGGAAAGGGCATGTATTAGGAAGCGATGATTACCTCATTCTAGTCACTGCCGGTATTTTCCTAGAAGTACTAAGAAAAATCACAGTAAGTCCTTTGTATAGGACAAAGCTACCTTAAACTTTATTAGAAGTAGTGACCAGGCCTCCTTTTTCAAAGGGCCTGGGTTTTAGTGTCGATTCGCATAATAACTCGCATTTTTCATGGCCACCTTCAGTCTTAACAGACAAATGCTAGGATAATATATTAAGTAGGCTCCGACCACTTTATTCCGCCATTTCCAGTTCATCATTCGGAAACATTCTCCCATTAGACTGTATAGGTCTATGAACAGCTTAATTTGGAAAGAGTAATTAAATAAATAGAGAATCTATTAATATCTGTAGGTCCAGGACACGCTAAGATGGTTGCACAATCGTGTGTAAACACATACGAAATTACTATAATTCATAGGAATTTTGTCGGTAGACCACAAGGGTTGGAACATGTTAAAAAATGTGATTTGTATCCGTGAAAGAGTAGGCCTGTAGGGAACCAAGAACGAATATCTCAAGAGATTCAAGACGACGCACCCCGGGCTTCTAAAAAGGGCAATAAATAAGAAACATAAGAACATCGGTAGCGTAATTAAAACGCGAAATCTTTCTTTAAGCGTGTAACATACTTTAGCTTCGCCATGTTGGTCTTCTACTTCAAAAGAGAAGTTGCACCACCATGCTTGTTAGCAGCTAATTAGTTCCATTTGGTTCGTGTGTCGTCAATGTGAAGGTTTGCGTACAGGTGTATCGACCGTTAATTGTATACGCCGTGTAATCGATTCTGAATCCAAGCAGCTGTTGTAGCTGCTGTTGCAAAATATTTCGCAACCCTGCTGGAAGGACGTACAATGCTCCGATTTTCCGGGACACAGGCTCTACTTTTATGGAACGGAGCATTATTGCCTGTCCATCAGTCGCCGATGTAGTGGGGTCGTTGTACGATAACAGTTAAACGATGAAAAATTTATCCAGAAATATTTGGAAGGTTTTTTTTTCTGTTTCCTCTACGCTAAAATATGTCGAGAGAGTTTGGTTTTGGTGAATATCGATTAAACTGAAGCTGAAGTTTAATTTTCTAATTTAATAAAAGGCGCGTCATATAAAAGTCATCATATAACATAAACATGCGTATTAATTTAGATTTTTATTTGAAACCTTCACCGAAATATTTAGTGTTCTGTTATTGACACTGCAGTTTCGCCTCTGCTCTGTTTTTATGGTTTACCAATTAAATCTTTATGCAGTTTGTTTGCACACGTCAATACCAAGACCGTATTTCACAGTCGGCGATTTGTGAAAGAGAGCTCATTGGCTCAGAACCCAAAAAGAGTCTATTCTGGCAAGTAGAGGGGAAGAGAAGGAACATTCGTTCGCCCCGACGGTGGTTTCGGCTCCAGTCGCCTCCAGTCGGGCGAGTCTTGTGCTCCGGTTGGCACGCGAGGCGCGTTTAGATGTGTCCTTAGTTGCGGGCCGACCGCTGTGCGCATCGGATGTGCTGGTTGCTGCATCTGCAACCCGCGTTGTGTCGCTAGGTCACTGCAGTTTATAAAGCTACCGAGTCGCTCGCTTCACGCAGATATTTTGAATTCCGCGGGTGATGTGATGTGCTTACAGTCGTTACAGTATCTAGTGGTTGTGGTGGTGGGTGGTATATGAGGGGTCGATTGGTGACGGCTTGTGTCAGAGCGTCGCTAGACGTCGTCCATGCAGGTTGTGTTCTGGCATAAGGAACGAGGAGACCCAACAGCATTTCGCTTATTACCGGGTTTTCGAATAGCGTGTGATGAGTGAGCTATGCCATCACAGCAGTGTCTTAATACTACAACTTGTGTTTTACCGACGCATTTATGATAGTTAGCTACGATTCATATTGGCCCAGATTACAATCTTTTTGGACAGAATATGGAAGATCCCCTGTTAGGTCGAGCCTTAACGCTAATTTTGTGCGTGACCCTGTGTCACAGCGCGTGGTGTGCCTCGGAGCGTCAGACACCGACCGCTTCGCTACTCCGGTACGAAGCCCCGGATGACTGTCAGTGGTGGATCCGGGAAACTTCAAGTTCCGGCGGTGATGAAGTGGCTCTCACATGTAAGCTTCGTACTGTCAACAGTGAGTTTGATACAACCAACTTCAGCGTGATCCCATCTGAACATACGACCTCGCTGAGAATAGAATGTAACAACATACTGATGTCTCGAAGTTCATTAGATGATCGGAGTTTTGTGCACTTGACTCGTCTTCGCGAGTTGATCCTAGATCACTGTAAGCTAGGACGATGGCCAGCCGGAACTCTTACGGGACTCCGAGATCTTCGGAACCTAACGGTGCGTACTTGGAACACGGACTGGCCTGCCATGAGTCTGGAGCTATCTCCTGAAAGTTTCTCTCCCGTAAGGCAACTTGAGAGACTGGACCTCAGCTACAATAACATGTGGTCCTTTCCTGAAAGCCTGTTTTGTAAGCTAACGAACCTTGTCAGTCTAAACATCAGTCGCAACCGTCTTCAGGATATCAGCGAGATTGGTTTCCGTGAGAAAGCGATTCCACCTCCTCAGCCGATGATCAGTACACAGGACGACGACGAAGACGTTGCTCCTGACGTGTCATCTCCGGCTTCCTCGCCTTGCAATTTGGATATCCAGGTGCTAGACGCTTCGTGGAATCATTTCGTTCTGATGCCCAGCAACGGATTTAGCACGTTGCGTAGATTGCGTGAACTTCGTCTGCATAACAATGAAATATCCATGGTGGCAGATCGCGCCCTAGGAAGTCTCAGATATCTGCAAGTATTTGACTTGTCTAACAACAAAGTAGTGGCTCTCCCACCAGAGCTATTCCGGGACTCTGCCCCTGTTATGAAAGAAATATATCTGCAGAATAATTCTATTAGCATTTTATCACCAGGCCTGTTCGCGAACTTAGGGCACCTCTTGGCTTTGGATCTGTCACGCAACCAATTGACAAGTGCGTGGTTCAACAGTGGTACGTTCTCTGGGCTCATTCGCCTTGTACTTCTCAATCTTTCACATAACCGAATCTCAAAACTGGATCCAACATTTTTTCATGACCTTTATACGCTGCAGATCCTAAACCTGAAACGCAACCAGCTCGAAACCATTCTGGCGGACACATTCGCGCCTATGAATAACCTACACACACTTATCTTGTCTTACAATAAAATTAGCCGCTTGGATGCTTACTCACTTAACGGCTTGTATGTACTGAGTCTCCTGTCTCTAGACAATAACTTGATGGAAACCGTCCATCCAGACGCGTTCAGAAACTGTAGCAGCTTGCAGGACCTTAACCTAAACGGAAATGCTTTGACCACCGTCCCGTCCGCCCTGAAGGACATGCGATTGCTTAGGACAGTGGATCTGGGTGAGAATGCAATTACCGACCTGATAGATCCAGGTTTCAAAGGCATGACTAATTTGTATGGGCTACGCTTGATAGGTAATCAGATAACTAATATAAGTAAAACTACATTTTCTGACCTCCCATCCCTGCAGATAATAAATTTAGCTCGCAATAGAATTCAGAATGTGGACCATGGTGCATTTAGTGCGAATTCAGATTTGCAGGCTATTCGTTTGGACGATAATTTGTTGACAGACATCAATGGCTTGTTTGTTGACATACCTAGTTTACTCTGGCTTAACATCTCTGACAACCAGTTAGAAAGGTTTGACTATGCGCTGGTACCACCAGGCTTACAGTGGTTGGATTTACACAAAAACTACATAAAAGAACTGAGAAATCACAATGAGTTGGGGTCGGAGCTCAGAATCCAAACACTGGACGCGAGTTTCAATAAGTTGACTTGTGTATCCGCCGTTTCAATCCCCGACAGCGTGGAGCTGCTATTCCTGAATGACAACCTCATCACTACAGTGGAACAGCAAACGTTTTTGAAGAAAACAAACCTCACTCGTGTGGATCTGTATGCAAATCAGATAGTCAGCATGGACCTCAATGCCCTGAGATTAACCGCTGTTGACGAGGGTCGCCCATTGCCTAGCTTCTACATCGGCGGAAATCCGTTTCAATGCGACTGCATCATGGAGTGGCTACAGCGGATAAATAAGCTGGGACATCTTCGTCAACACCCACAAGTTATGGACCTAGACAGCATTTACTGTAAGCTTATACACAACCGCTACCACACTTATATACCTCTGATAGAAGCCGAGCCGTCCCAGTTCCTATGCACCTATAAAACGCATTGCTTTGCCTTGTGTCACTGCTGTGACTTCGATGCTTGTGACTGCGAGATGACGTGTCCAACCAACTGCACGTGTTATCACGACCAGACTTGGACGGCCAATATCGTCGAGTGCTCTGGTGTAGAATACACGGAAATGCCGAGTGGCATTCCGATGGATGCTACCGAGGTCTACTTGGACGGAAACAACTTTGGCGAACTCTCTAGTCACTCTTTTATTGGGCGGAAAAATCTGAAAATCCTGTACGCAAATAATTCCAATATTGCGGCAATCTATAACCACACGTTTAGCGGTCTGAAACGACTGGCAGTTTTGCATCTGGAGAACAATCGAATTGCGGAGTTGCGTGGATTTGTTCTCGACAGCCTGGCGAGTCTCCGTGAATTATACCTGCAAGGTAACCAAATCCACGTTATAGACAACCGAACATTCATGCATCTGGAACACCTTGAAGTCTTGCGCCTTGACGGAAATCGCCTTTCAACTTTTCCAGTGTGGCAGTTCACTTTTAATCCGTATCTCGTTGAAATAGGCCTTGGCGAAAACCAATGGTCGTGCGATTGTCAGTTTCTCCACAGATTTCGTACCTGGTTACAGGGCAATTTTGTCAAGGTCGTAGATGCCAATAAGATAGTCTGCATACTTAACAATATTTCAAACATCGTGGGACCGCCGCTTGCAGACTTCAACGCCAGTTCTTGTGCCGCGTTTACTGGTGATTCTACTTCAGTTGTGCGGAATCAATTTCTTAACAGGTATCTCCCCGTGCTCCTGATTACGTTGTGTGTATTTCTAGCCTCTGCCTCTGTGGTTTGTGGGGTGTACTGTTACCGACGGGATCTTCGCGTTTGGGTATATTCTCGGTATGGGCTACGGATGTGTTACAAGACGACAGCTTTCGAAGAGGAGCAAGACCGAGACAGGTTGTTCGACGCTTACGTCAGTTACAGTGTTAAGGACGATGCTTTTGTAAGCCAGGTACTAGCAACGGGTCTCGAGCAAGGTGACCCCGCCTACCGGCTCTGTCTCCATTACCGTGATTTTAACATGAATGCTTATGTAGCAGATACTATAGTCGAAGCAGTGGAATCATCGCGAAGAACCATAATAGTACTGTCCAAAAATTTCCTGCGTTCCGAATGGTGCCGTTTCGAATTTAAATCGGCTCTACATGAGGTACTTAAAAACAGACGACGTCGCCTAATTATTATCATATTAGGGGAGTTACCACAGAGAGACTTAGACCCCGATCTGAGGTTATACCTCAAGACAAATACGTGTATTGAGTGGGGAGATAGGCTTTTCTGGCAGAAGCTGAAGTTCGCCATGCCGGATGAAAAGAGGGACTCGTGTAGCTCCAATCGGGGACACCATCACAACAGGTCGTCGGTGAACGTGTACTCAGCGGCGTCTGCAGGGCTGCCGAGTTTTGACAGGAGTCTAGGTCTGCAAAGGTCCCTGCCCTTGCCACCTCAACGTTCTCCTGGGAAGTTGCTAACGCCGTTCGTGCACAGCCACCAGAACAACCTGCAGAGTGCAGAGCGAGAGCTACCTCGGCGCCTTCCCCAGCCGTTGTGGGCGTAGCGGCTATTCCGCCGCAGGTAAGCTCTTCTCGCCGACTTAATCTGTGTTGAATGTCTGGTAATGGGAACACTTTTTGTCTTAGGCTTTACAACAGCCAGAACTTTGTCGGATGTTGTGTTTTAGAAAACTGTATTTTTATATGAATTTTTGTAGGTAGTGATTGAAAAAGAAGCAAAAATATTGAATCGTAAACGTTGATATTTGTCAGCTGTTCGTCATATGGTTGACTAGTTCACTTACCAAGCTTGCTGTTTTGTGCTAGTTACTGGATTCTGCATGCGGTTCTATTATTTATCTTATTTATCGGAAACGTTGTGTATGTTTGCCTGAGTGCATGCGTCCTGCAATTATTATAACTCACTCTGAGATTTAACCTTGATGGGAAATTTTTCTACCGGACTTCATATTCTTTTTTCGTCATTTTGTGAATTCCTTGGACAGAGGGGGCGCCGTGGGGTTTGTCGCTGGCCATTAGCAAGAAGCCAGTTTAGGTACTTTAGCTTAGGTACATAAACTTATTTTAATCTATAAAAAATATAAGAGACCTCTACCCCAACAATTGTTTTTATTAGCATAAGGGTTTTAATAAATGTTTTGAAATATTATTCTAACTTCATTACGAATTGCAGTTACGAATTCTATACGAAACAAAAATATACGGAATCGACTCATGGTTCTTGTTCTGCAAACAACCTGTCATTACAGTTAGAATTATTAACATGTACGAGATATTAAGCCACGGTGGTCTAGCGGTTAGAACGCTGGCCTTGTAATCTGGGGTCTCGGATTCGATTCCCGGCGGTGCCCGAATTTATAACTTGTGTTGGGCAAGGCCGTGGTCTAGGCAACACGGAGTTTTCCTCCGTGGCATCCCAACAATTACTCCATTCACACACAGAAGAAGGCAATGGCAAACCACTTCTGGATCATCTGCCAAGAACGTATATGAACAGGTCCCAGTCCGAGAAAAGGATGGAAGGATCCTGTTCATATGGACCTGTCGTCAGACAGAACACTAAATAAATAAATAAATAAACGAGATATTACAGCTTGTATTTACATTTGCATACATTATCCCATATTTATTATGGCGAAATAAATGTTATAAAGTAGGTCAAAGTTTTGCCCGATTTTACTAACAAATTATTACGAGCTCAACTCAGTCGTTACGACGAAATAATCCATTATGGTAACATAATCCAAATATTCATCGCCGCTAGTACAAAAGCCCTCCATTTTACATGATTCTTAGTTCCATCCATCTCCTCACAATCCATCTTCCTAAGATCCATCGCAATATAATAGTCCCATCCACTTTTTGGACTTCCAAGTGGGTAATGTAACACGTTTTCACGCCAGTTTCTGTATGTATTTCTTATGTCCACCATGTTAACGACATGCCTAGCTTGTCATAAAGAATCCTTCTCTAAAATCTATGTTATAATTTAAACGCAGTTCGAAAATTTATCACGGCAGTAACAATTAAGAATCGGGTACTACAGTATTGGTTGCTCTGACAGTATTGACAGAAACCGGCTGTCAGATTCTTTACAATTAAGAAATGATAGTTTGATGGCTATTTGTGAGGACGCAGAATCTACTGAGGCGAAAATTCGTTTCTATATAGGTGTTCACAGGCTCTTTTGAAGTCCACTTCGAGAGGAAATAATTATACAACTTTAGTTAGTGCAGTTCAAGAGAAGATGTCCTTTGATCCCATGTCAGTATCTCCACGGCCCCAACTCAAAGCTGATGTACAGTCTCCGCAGAATATTAGATAAATATTTACTTACAGAAACTACATTGTCAGAGGATTGCAACAGCTACAAGAAATATATTTAAAAGATTTTGCTGTAGGCTTTATTTTCAGTGTACAAAAGGAATATCACGCTAAATTTACTTTTTATGATAACTGTTGAGCGTTTTCTGTCTGTGCACGTAGAAGCTAGGTGTTAAAAGAGTGGATTCCAAACTACGAAACGAGATTCTTAGCACGGTGGGGCGGGAAAAGACATAATTCTCGGAGTCAGTTTCCTTTTCGAGAGAGGTCCTGTTCTTATCTTGTTGGAACATTCGGTACGACGCGTCATTAGCTTTACGCTGTCTTACCTCCTTCTACCTAAAACCTAGATTACAGTGGCAGACGAGAGACGGTACGCCCTGAGAAATGGGTGGATGGCACCCACGGGTCTACCACATTACACATGCCCTGTATCAACCAACTTTTTTTTTCGTAACCTTGGAAACTGAGCTTGACATCGACTTTATATATTCGAAATTCGTTTCTCGTCGTTTTCATTTCTGTGTTTATTGACCTCGCATCGACGAAGCGAAATTTTGAACCGGAAAGACAGCTATTAATATTTCACAGTATCAAACATCGTAAATGAAAGTAAATCTTTAAATCCACAGGATTATATGAACATTTAAATCGCCCATAAAGTCGTAAGAATATTCCTATGGAAACTGAAGCATGCAAATATTTCGTGGATAAATTAAGTAAAGTAAAGTAAAGTAAAGTTTGTCCCACTATACGCCATGTAGGCGTTTGGGGTGAGTGGAGGTATAGCCCCCAGAGCCGGTCGGGACACAGAGGCTAGAGGAAAAATCCTCTGCCCCCGTCGGGGATCGAACCCCGGCCGTCCAGCCCGTAGCTAGTCACTATACAGACTGAGCTATCCCGCCTCATAATATTTCGTGGGTAAAGTCGTGATAATACTTTATAGTGTTGAAATTGTTGAAGTATTCTTATCGAAACTGAAACGTAATAAATCTGCAAATATAGAAAATAAAAAATTCATTACTTATGAAATCGTAACAGTGTTCTTATTTTGTCTGAAAGCTTCATATTCGTAAATGGACTAAATTATAAGAATATTTATCGCCTCTGAAATAAGGACAATGTTCTTTCATTTTATCGAAGCTGAAATACAAATCCACAAGTTGGCAAGTGGACAAATTTTTGAATATATTTGTCGTCCAGGAAATTACAAGAATATCCTTAATGGAAGGTTTGTAAATGAGTAAAAAAGCAAGATTATTTTATTTCCATGAAATCGAATGATACTGTAATTGAAACAAATAGAAATCCGCAAATGGACAAAATCTTAAAAATACACTGAAATCGTAAGAATGTTCTGTATCGAAACTGAAATATACAATAAATGAATTCTTCTCGGGCTACCATCTGTGTCACGTGGTTGAAAGGTGTAAGTTCCAACGTTTCGAGAACCATCTCCGTCCTCGTCCTCAGGGCACTGACTTCAGTACTCGGAGGACGAGATCAGCCCTTTGGAAGGACACAGGACAACACACTACAGAAAGAAGATGAAAAAACACCCGTGCCTTGAGCGGGATTCGAATACAGATTGCAGTTTCCGAAGGTCCAAGTCTTACCCCGCAACTTGGACCGGTGTTAACATTTGACGTTGCGTAAAATTCATCGTGATGTGGTGTTTATAGAACCAGGTGACCGTGGACTATCCCGGCCCGGTGAAGAAAATTTCCTAAATGTCAGCGAGGATTTCTGTATCCTTGCCAGATACAAATTGTGCAACTCTCACACTTACTTATTGTTTGGGGGATATTTTTGTGTGGGCCTATGTAAGCTTTGTGCAAGTGTCTTAAAGCTTAGATTCACAAGTACCTCATGAGGAATGCCAACAGAATTTTATTCGGAACGCATGTAGCTAAGATGCCTCTTACAAGACACGGGAATAGATGGAAGAATAATATTAAAATGGATTTTAGAGAAACGGCATATGACGATTTTAACTGTATTGTATTTTATTTTATTTGACTCAGGATAGGGACTAAGTTTTTTTTTATATATATAAGAAGCGTTGATATACCTTCGGGTTGCATGAAAGACGCATAATTTCTTGATCTGTTAAACGACCATTATATTGTCAAGTACATTTATTTATGCAGTTACTTAAAACAGCTCCCTAATATATTATTCCCACATTAGTCTGTTATTCGAAACAGAACATAGTATCGTGTCGTTCAATAATTTTATTGAATTTCTAAATATTAACACCATCTGTTTTTGTTTTTCTTTGTGAAATTTGAGTTTTTCACTGTGATGACGATTATGTTCTTCTGGGTTCTTGAACCATGTTGTCTGGTCAGTAGATGCCAGCGTTTCGGAGAAGCTATCTGACTCCATCTTTAGGGCTGAAAATCAGCAATTTTTGTACTTACCTTTTTTTCTATTCCCATGGCAGCTACAGCAGTTCATCTACCTTGGATTATGTTAAAGGAGATTAAAATGGCTGGACTATCGTTCATGGACAGTATGGTGGCCTAAGCTGACTATTCAGTAGTTACATGTTTCGTGTAATAATGGAAAAATTATTTGGCTAGTATAGAAATGCTCATGTAGTCCGGAGTCCTCCTAACTGTGCGTAGTCCACGTGGAACGAATTGTATGTATAAGAACGAGAGGGGGAGAGAGGCCTTGTAAGCCAATGATTTCTACTAACCCAAAGTTTATAGTACGTGGCGCCATTTGGCTGTTTTAAAACTACAAAACTTCAAAGAGTTTGAAAAGCATGCGGTAGACTGAAAGAGTAACATCAATAATGAAAAAAGACGTACGAAATAAGCGTACATGTGGTAAAATTGCAAATAAACTGATGAATGTAGTTATTTTATCAAAACCTTTAATAGAAAATAAAAGCGAACCTCGGATTTGCGTTCAGCTTGGCTTATGTGGAGCAGAAAATTACGTTTCCATTGCCTTCGGCGAGTATTTCCAGCGTGACCTCCGGGCGACTGCTCCGACGTGCTAGAAAGAATGGAATTCTGCGCCCGCTGATGCAACCAGAGCGCCCAGCTCTAATAGACCGAATTATTCCGGCGGGGAGCGATGTCTCTGTCTGGATCTGAAAGAATTTTATATCGCATTAGTAGGGACAGCTTAGTCATTTGAGTTACTTGCTACGGATTAGAAGACCGGGGATTGATTCCTATTAGATGTGAGATTTTTGTATCAGAGGAGTGATCAAATCGCAGCCCTCCGATGTGTTTTGGGGGCCCGACTTCGTGAAGAAATATGTCACCTTTTTGTTGAATCCGGAGGTCCATTGCCGTGATCATAAAAGCCCGCCATTGGGCTCCATCGTGGAACAGTTGGCCACAATCTGACCCTGCCCATCCTGTTCCCCTAACTACCCTCTTAATATTGTCCACCCCTCATATTGCCATGTCTTTCGAATGGTGTTTTCCTCCAGATTTTCCATGCGCGCTACATCACCTGATTATCATCGTCCTCGATTTGATAATCGTAATAATATTTGATGTAGGATAGAAATTATGAAACTCATAATTGCACAATTTTCTTCAGCCTCCTGGCACTTCGTCTCTCTTAGGTCCACACGTTCTCCTTAGCACCCTGTTTTTAGAGCCCCTTTTAGTCCTTAATATGAGAAACCAAGATTCACATTCATA